TTTAAATCTCAAACCATATCCCTTTAATCACCCACATTAATTGACACAAATTGGCTTGATCAAACATGTAAACTTTGTGGCTGGCCCTGCAAGTCCCACCATTTACTTTAAACTAAAAACCACCAAATGCTAATTCATGGTTATTTAAAATGTTTGCAGTTTTAGTGTATTAAGTACACCCAAAGTTAGGTTTGCCAAGTGTTTCCCAACAGGGGGAAACCAAATTTGGCTTAATGGCAACAAATTCCAACCACCAGTATTATGGTCCATATAAGCCTAAAAACCCGGTTCAGCATATTGAGTAGCCAAGCGGACCTAAAAACAGGTCATCAAAAAACACCCAAAAAAAATAAATTTTTCCAACCTTCTCACCGAAATGCGTTCGGCTTCCAGTTGCTTTTAAGCGGCCGTCGGGACTTCTCAGCTCTCCAAGACGACGACGGTTCGCCTGTGTAACCACCTTGAGCCCACAGTGCTAAATTGGTCCAAACAAAGAAACTACGTTTGGAGCAACATCCAACTTAAATGATTTTTGCGGTAATTTACTACAATCATATCTTCTTACCGCTTTTGGTTTAGCGGATCCACTGCCTTCCTCGTTGTCGCGTTGGGGGTCAAAAGGAGTAGAAAGTACTGCGTACAACTTTGCTTCCTTCACCCGCATAGCGTAACTGCACGCTAATTGGTTGCTAAAAGGCTACCTGCCTTTCGTTTGGTTAATGCGGTGACCTGAGTGCTGCCTTCAAGTGCAGTTGGAAATGTGTTGCTTTCAGTGCAACTCCAGAAAAACCATTAAAGATATTGTAACACCATGAAACGCTAATAAAACCCAACTATCTTCCCTTCTAAGGTTAAACTTATGGTTTAGTTATACCCAAGTTTTACACCCCCCTGGGTTTACCCCATTCCAGCTCTCTTCTAAGCGATGTTGTGGAATAGAAGGGCTTTCTTGATTTTTGGTTCCCTATTTTGCTTCCCTGATAGCATCTTCCTTTGTTTCTGTGCCTGGGGGTTCAAGTGGTATTTTTATTTGTAGCCTTTCTTCTTCGACTAAGTATTTTTTTCTCCATTTTTGTTTCGTTGCTTTGTTACCCTTCTTAGCTCCTCTCTTTCCAAGTTTTTTTTCTCTTGATGCCTTTTCTCTTGTTTACTTCCTCTCCCCTTCCCTGTCTGAGAGACTGCTGCTGTGTCTGCATTGTATTCTTGAATATCTGTTCTTGCACAACCAGGGGTGTTGGTGGCCTCCACTGGCATCTCATTGGATCTTTGTTTCTGTCTGGCTTTCTGTGCCTCGGCTCTCGCGCGCGTCTTTTCTTCTGCCTGCCCTTTCTTCGCTTGTCTCTCTGTCTTAATTCTTGCTCCCCTTTGTCTTTCCTCTCATCGCTCGCTGTTGTTCCTTGGCTCCTGTCTTCCCATCTTGTCTTATCTCTCTTCGTTGTACTCTCTTTTCTTCTCCTTCTCGCTCCTCCAACCTGCTTCCCTGTCTCACACCATGCCCTTTCCTACAATCCCCCTTCGTACCACCCCTGCCCCAACGACAACTGCCCGCCCCCCTACTGAAAACGATCTATACGAACGATTTTTATTTACTTGACATGGATTGATGATGGATGGAGCGATGATCGGGTAAAATGCCTCAAAGTGGCAGTATGTACTTTTCAAACCAGGTGTTGTGAAAATCCTACTACAGCTGGCTTCTCCTCCCTGCTCTATCACTCTGTCCACATATAAATATATATTTGAATGCTTCCCGAAAGTTACACTTACACAATAATAAGCAGACCACTGCCCTCCCATCCTCTACAAGTCAGATGGTGTATGGTTAAATAAGTAATGCATGCTAGTGCTACCTGTACCATTTATCGTGAAATAAAACGCCTGAAATAACAGTTAACCCTTTACTCAATTCACAAATAATATTATATTAGCCACCATTAAGAGGTTATTGGTGGGATGTCTCAACTCCGTAACTTGACGTAAGGCATGACTTTCCCGCCAAAGCTGAGATGTACAGTGAACTAGCATGTTATCCTCAGTTCCTAGCTGTCCCCAAACCTCACTAAAATGCTTAAATTCCAATCCCACTATGTAAAAACAGTATCTTAAGCAGAATGATGGTATTGACCTGGTCCCGCAGCTGTGACCATAGGAAGATTGACATTGTGCAAATAAATAAAAATGTAAACGACCAGAGCATGTGCGTAGTGTCACATCCCACCAGCCCAGAGACGAAAAGCGGCCTCCAGGATATAGCTGACCATCGCATTTCCTGATCAGATGAGGCTTATGAAGAAACTACGGAGTTGACAGAAACACACCAACTTTGATAGGGCAGATTTCATGGAAATTATTGTTTTGACGTTCACTTCATGCATTGTTTTTATTTATAGCCCCCTTCTTTTTATTTGAATAATTCTGTTTTCACAATTGTAGAGGCTTTTTAAAGTTTGGATGCCCATATTGTGACCCTCTTGCTGAGGGACAAGTGCAATAACATGGACCTCTCTACCACAGACCACTACAGTTAAACAAATGTTCCCCAAAAAGATAAAACATTCTGAAAATCAGCATAGGAAACATTCCTTTGATTTAACTTTGTAAGTATGTCAATCATGATGAATTCCTTAAGGTTGATAAGAATTAGACTTTCTATGTAGGACATGTTTTGTCCCGGACGCTCCAAGAAGCCAGTTTTATGTGATCATTATGTTTAATTTTAATTAATTGGCAGTCATCTTCTAATGTTCCAGTGTTCCCACCGGAAGGTCAGACCACCACTCTCGGTCGCGGGGGGACGCAATCCTCCTTGTTATAGGTGGAAGCAAAATTAACTTAACTTTATGAAGTGTGATGATTGGCCAAATATTAAATAAACCAATTCTGTATAAAAGTTCATAAAATATAAGTTAACACATCTCTGATGACATGAAATAATCATTAATTAATGATATCAAAAAATGAAGGATCAAAATATCTCTTTAAATGTTTCCATCCCATTCTCTGTAAGTTAAAAGGTATCGTCAGACCTGCTCTATTTGAAAAGTGTCCTGAGTACTTCTGTTACCAATTGGCGGCACAATAAGAAGAATGACAACTTGAATAAGGACCACCATTAGTTTCCCATAATTCCTCCTCCTCCTTCTGTTGCATTTCCTCCTGTCGTCCGCTGAGGCCCCATATAACCACAAAGATCAACCTGCCGGTGTTCTTCCTTTCTGCTGAGTCAACCTCTGTTCTCGTACCTCTCACCCTTCCCTTTACTTCTCCTCTCCTGCTTGTTCCTTCCTCCTCTTGTCCTCCCCATCCTTTCCTCCACTTATGTTCCCCCCTTTACTTCTTTCCTCCATCTTCTGCCTTCTCTTCTACTTGGCCTCCTCTTGTCCTTTGTCTCCTCTTTTCCTTCCTCATGCCCAATTGATTGAAAAATATTCTTATATCAAGAAATGATCATTATTACACGAAGTTTGTTTTTGTGTATCAAGTGGACATTAACCGTATTTGACACATTAAACCACTAGGTGACTCTTTGTATTAGGAGGACAGGGTCCAGTGTCCTGCTCATTCTAAAAGTATCAATGTTTCTATAGAGCTAGAGGGCCCAAATCCAAGTTTCTGCCAAAACTCTGTCTCGACACAATTACCAGACCATTGTAAAGCTGTGTGTCAACACAGCGCGCCCCCCCTAGTTGACGGGTACTGCACCCACCTCCATTAATAGGTAATTGCTGATTTTACACAGACTCATCCAGTTAGTCCAAGAAACCTCAACTGCACAAATTCCAACACCACTCTACTGGGCAAATGCTTGTCTGACTAACCTCCAGTTTTTGATGTAAGACAACCTCTATCTTCCCTTCCTTCCTTCCCTTCCTCCCCCTTCCCATCCTCTCTTCTCGTCTTCGTCCTTTAGGTTTGTGTCTGTTTTTGGGAGAAGTTGGCTGGTCCTGTTGGTGCTTGGCCGGCAGACAGACCTTCATCAGCACATTCCAGCCCTTAACCTTTTTTATTTTTGCATGCAGCCAGTTTGTGTTATCTGGCTCATCAGCAAGGAAGACATTTTTTCTGCCCATATGCATCAATCATCCATTATTATCTTCGTCTTCCATCATCATCACCCTCATCCGCATTTTCATCATAATCATCATCATCCATTCATTCTTCATCATCATCATCAACTTCATCACCTTCATCATCATCATCAATCATCATCATACAATCAATCAATCAATCAATCAATCAGCCAATCAATGATCCATCAGTGGTTTGATGATAAACATTTAATAGTTTGATGTTATGAGAGAAGATAATGTCTCTCCTGTTAGTGCTCGATGTAATGTGACCCTTCCTTGAGTCCTTTACGAGTTCATCTCACTGCTCTTGGTTAATGAGTTCTAACGTGGAGTGTTTGTATGACGACATCCGGCCAGAAGGAAATAAATGTCCTCTGATTTTATTTTTAGAAACTAGAGTCCAAAGTAGAGCAGAGATCAAGAGGAAAGACAAAGGTTTTTATCTGCAGTGTGTGTTGGACCAAATGTTTCTGAAGAAGGATCAATCTACATGCAACTACTCTCAGCTTGGATTTTTAAATCATCAGCTACAAAGAAAAAGTCTGTTGTTGAAAAATCTGCATTGATTATTGATCTGTATTTGGAGGCTAAAGGAAACAGGTAATGGCATTTTCTCTCCTGGAATAAAGTTTAAAAGACACTTTCAAGTTCTTTTGAATCAAAACAACACAAGAATTCCCTCAAAGTCTTCCATGTGCAGTTTTAGTGGAGACATTTTGCTGCAACAGTAAAAGCATGTACAGGTTGCTGCTGTGATTCTGCTGAGACAGTCAAGAGTATTGATCAATGCAGGACTTCTTTTTGTACTGGAGGACTTTCACAGTGTGCTATTGCTACTTTACTTTTACTTAAGTAAAGATCTGAATCCTTCCTCCACAGTACTGTTTGTATCACTGACAGGTCTTTGTTTGTGTTGTGACTCTCATTCAGGTGATTTGTGAGACTCAAAATGAGGCTCTGTGATGAATCTGAGGATGGAAACAGTGCAGACGAGCAGACAGAGTCTGCCGCCTCCAGCTGCTGCAGAAACACCGGGCGGCTCAACGTGCCGCGTTTCAGCCACCACCACCTGCCTGCAGAGTGAGACTCATCACTCACATTTTACAAAGACATAAGGGGCTCATTTGATTGTAGATTGTACACAGAAACATTTACACCTGACTTAGTGAATGAACTTTCTGCAATGATCAGAATAAATCGGTTTAAATAGGAGCATTTCAGCAGCTTTAACACACTTCAACTTCAAAATCACCTGTTAATATATATATAATCTAATAATCTAATTCATTCCAGGTTCTTTGTTTGAAGGCAGCTGCTTCATCCAGTCAGTATTGTGCCATGTTCTGTATATTAGGACTGTGTCTTTAAAGTGACATTATACAGCTTTTAAAAGGAGAAACAGCTCATTCTTCCTCCGACTAATGAAAAGTTCAATTCTTAAGCAATAAAACAGACACTGGATCAGTTCAGTTCACTCAGGAGTTTTACAGCCTCACTTGGTCTGGTATGACCAGTAGCTCATGTTGGCTAATTTTAGCTAATGTTAGCAGACTTTAGATGGATATTGTTATAGACATGATTGGGTCATGGGCCCTCCACACCGAGAACAATAACAACTAAATATACAATAACTATAAATTTATACTTTTAAAAGTAGATGATGACACATCTATAGACAATGACAGTGGCCACGATATCGTTGGGATCGCTTCTGAGGTGGAAAGTAACAAAGCACAAATACTTTGTTACTGTACTTATTGTTTATTCAGCTATCTGTACTTTAATAGAGCATTCCTTTTTATATATTTATCATTTATTACTTTTATCTCCATCATTTGTACACAAATATCTGCACTTTCTACTCATGTTAAAAAACAGGCTTGTTGCTGTAGTTTTAATGCATTATTTAATAAATGTTTATATTTTCTCAGCCTTCCCAACATCAAGACTAGTGTATATCACACATGACAGATGTAACAAGAAGAAACAGATGGAGAGGGAGACTCAATCATCTCTGAAGTTTCAGTTAGTTTTGTACAAAAACAGCTGGTAGAAATGTCCCTCAGAGAAACCAAGAGAGTATTTTCACTGTACTTTTAGTACATTTCAGAGCCTGGACTGTTTTTGTACTAAACATTACATATAAATAACAATACAGGGGCCTACATTACAGACAGAATACCTTTTTAACCTTAACTGGTGACGTAACCTGAATGAACGACTAGACAACTTGAACAAAACCTTAAATAACCTTCACAAAGCTTTAGCTAAACAAATGCAGGAAAAGGTGTGTGAAGGATCAGTGACCATAAATAAAAAAACACATTAAGGCCACCCATGTTGTTTACAGTTTGTTTCATGGAACAGAGACTCCACTGGAAAACTCAGTTTCTGAACTGACTAAACTACTGTTTTACACATCAAACGTTGTCAGAACAACATAAGGAGGCTTTAAAAGTCTTTATAAATGCACTGTGACAAGATATGACACACTAATGCATCAGTAGGCATCACATATACAACTTATTAAACACTTATAGAACATAATATTAGGCTGCAAATACACGTAAAGACACATTTTACAGATACGGCCAAATGCTCTGTAGTTCTGATGGGCTCTCTGAAGTCCTCACTGATGTCCTCTTTTTTTTTTTTTACCAAAGAAGGAATAAAATTTGACGACAACTCTTGTAACAGTATTAGATTCTCCTAACTCCCATCCTCTTTGTGAACCCTTCTGGTTTTCTGTTTGTTTCTCTGTGCAACAAACAGCAGTAACAGCTCATCAATGACTTCATCCATTTTCCTATGAAGCTGTGACACAGCTGGATCGTCCATCAGCGTGGATGCTCACATTGTTATAGTTATTGTTCTCGTTGTGGACGGCCCTTCAATTTCCTCACTTTATGGCTCTTCTCTACTCACTGCTCTGTTCCATTTCACTGTTTCACAAAAAGTTATGGTCACTTTAAACTGTCTTTCAGTGATGACAAACTGATCAGCATGACGGAGTTTCCAACAGCCGTTTATCTGCTGATGAAACGGAATAAATCCTCAGAGCTGATCGATTTCAACTCCAACTTGGACCCTTCAGTCACAAAGTGAGTTCACTTCTAAATACGTGTTAAGAGCTCAACAGGCTTTTCACTAAAGGAATTGTTTGACATTTGAAGATTCTTGCAGAGAGATTTTGAGAGGATCGACATCTGTATGCTGGATATAAAGCTAGAGTAAGGTGGCAGTTAGACTGTTGTTTCTGCTTTTGTACCAATGAAACAAACTATATATAAGATGTTAATGAGTGAGCTGTAGAGGTGTTGGTATTGTTGAACTTTGGATAGTGCCAGGCTAGCTGTTTCCTCCTACTTCCAGCCTTTATGCTAAGCTAACCAACTCACAACCACTCTCACAAATTGAAGTGAAGTTTCCTTTTTCTCTTTAGCATTTAATTATGAGCCAAATCCCCTGACTATTACAATATAATAATAGTTTATTTTAGGTTAAAATTATGCTCCTTAGAAACAGCTGGAGCTCCCAGTGATGCAATAAATGTGGAAGATGAGTGTGTTGAACTAGTAGATTTGTGTGCAAAGCAGATTTCACACAGCTTTACATTTAATTTCAGACTGGTGTGTGTGAGGACGAGCAGTAAGGAATATGGGCTACCTTTCTAGATTCCAGCCTGAACTGTGCAGTAAGTTCACTTCTCACTGATCATATTACACCAGGCTGTGCTGCTCTTCAATAACACAGAAACTATATCAATATGTTCCAAAGGTTATGATGCAGTCCAGAGGAACCAATCCTTGAGGAGTGGCCACCTGATAGGAAACACCAGATTCAAAGTGAGCTTCATTATTCCAGTCGAGAGAGGAGAAATCTCTTCTACAAGTTTGGACATCAGCACTTGCTGTTTGGAGCTCTACTTGTAAATAATCTGCCTTCGTGTGATAAAGGTTGTTCCAGTTCAGCAGCATAAAGCTGCTCATTTAATGACGTCGGGGAGCGAGAACACTGTGAAATTAACTTTGCTTGTGCAGCTCACAGCCTGTATGCAGACCAACAGCTGGAAATGAAAATCCAAACTGAGCTTCTGCAGTTCATTTTATTGGAGGGGGGATTTTTTTAAAGTGAATTATTTCAGTTTTCATTGTTTTTCTACATGCTGCTATACTTCCAGTGGTGACACTAAAAACAGGGCAAAGCCAGAAAGACGATTGGTTAGTTAACCTTGGTGAGGCTAAATAGAAGGCTACAAACATCCTCATAGAACTGGAGTTACATCCAGATAACTTCTAGTTCCTTAAAGACCTATGTGTGGAATTTAATTTGATTATAACAGCTATCAAATATGTTTCTATTTGTCGTGCAAATGCTACACACAGGAGCTTTAAAATATCTTCACATTAACATCAATATATTCTTCATTTATTCCAGACCCCTTTAAGGTATTTTCCCATCTTCTAGAAATCACATTTATATCCAATTAATTAAAACAAAATGCCGACCAGATTATATTTTATATCCACATAATGAGGAAATATGTCAGTAAAATGTCCACTGACAACATATTTAATTTGTTCTCCACCAAAACACCCAATCTTGTGATACAATGTCCGTTTGTGGGAACTTTTTTATGGTTCTGTTTAGGCAACAAAAGCACCAACTTTAGAAAAAGATCAACTTTCTGTGTCGGCCATCCACCCCGACCACAGGCCTCCATCTCTGGTGTGGTTCATCAATATAAAGACCAAAACAAGAAGTGAACATAATCCAGGATTATGTTTGACAGAACAATGTCTTTATGAAAACAATATAGTGCTATAAAAACCTAATTTCTAGGAGGCAGGGTTGATCTGAATTTGAATGATTATCTTCTAACATACTGTAATTTCTGTTTGCTATCTGGACTTGCTGCTTAGTTTTTCTGCACCGCTGCAGATTGTTATTCATTGTTTGTTTGTTTATCTGTTGACCAATTGTCTGAGAAATTATAAATGGACGACATAGATTTTATTGTTTTGTCTCTGTTTGTGTTCTTCAAGGCGTTGGAAACACATATCAGTGATTTGGTTTGTTAAAAATCTGCTTTAAAATCACAACCATGAAGTCTACAGCTATATTTAGAGATTAAATTATACTTTTATACAGAACGTCCATATCTACAAGAGAACTGTTATTCATTAGTTCATATTTGTCATATTACAATGAGATCACTGGCATATAAATATTGATTAAAGTCAGTCTCAGTCAACAGAAAACACACATTTTCCGTTTTACTGTTAAATATTGTTCTAAACAGTTTAGTTAATATAGTTTTCAACTTGAAAGAATTGTTGTACGTCTGTGTTTTCTCTTTTCTCTGTATTGTTCTCATGCCGTTTGCATTCTAATACTTTATGTTTGTATCATAGATGTGTATATTCACTTTATCTGTTATATACCTGGATGTACATATTGTTTGTGTTTATGAGTCCATCACTCATCTGAGCCCACCGACAGTTCTTTGGTCTCATTTTAGGAACAGTGGTGAAACAATCAAGCAAAATTGAATCAAGGTTTCTAATGCAGAATAAATATAATTACGTAATCACACTGATAGACTTTATTCATGATCCTGTGAATGTGTTTTTGGTGCTGGTCCCAGTGGGATTCAAACTGTAACTGTGCATCACAACCTTGTTCTGTTTTTATGACACGTTTTAAGAGTGTTTTTCTTTTAGGAAGTTTCACAAAGCTTCTGCCCTCTGCTGTGAGCCAATAAAGGTTTTAAAATCTGATTTGAATCATAGTCCTCTTTGTCTG